CAAAAGCATTTACTCTAATGCATTTGAGGCATGCACCTACAACCACATGGAACACCAAGCCTCAGCGCACATACTGACCTTGTATCAGAACCTTTTCAAGGGCCTGGTGAGCTCTTATTGCTGAACTTAATATGGATCATACTCAGTCTAATATGGAAATACATACTCAGGAAAATTAAGCCAAGTTCAACCTATATTAATTCTTACTCAGAAAAAATTTGGATTTAATTAAGGAGTAATTAATTTTTTTTTCAAGGGACCCCATGCTGGGGCGATTCGTAACAGCATGCAAGGGTTTGGAAAGCGTCTTAGATTTCGAAGATTACGGACTCAAGATTGATCCAATGGAGCTGCACAGTCTAGATGAAGGGCCAGACTGCTCAACTGGCACAAGTTTGACACCGATATGCAGAATGTTCTTAATTTTGTATAGAGAATTCCAAAATCTGTTACAAATCGCCCCATACTCCCTTAAGGTACAGTGAATTCTCAATGGTATGTTACGAAGTCAGCTGCACCACCATAATATGGAATATTTTCACCATAATATGGAGAATCTTCTCTGTACAACATTTAGATTGTACACTGTCCCAGTTGGGGGGAGGGTTTTTGTTTCATTTCCAGACCTTCGCGGTACAATGTCATTCCAGGGACGTGTCAACACGTTGAAACGAATGTGACAAAGTGTCAAGCTCTTTTCAACGTTGTGTAACATTCGTTTGAAAGGGAATAAGTTCATTATTCACATCCAAACGAATGTGACCGAGGGGTACCTCACTTCGAAAACAGGTGTACACTGACTGGTGACTATACTAAATTTCCACTTTGACTAGACTGAAAATATCACGAAATGCGTTGCAAAAATACTAAAATTGGGACAAATTTACGTGGTTTTGCCGACTTTTTCAGTGACTAGACTGAAACAAGGCAGTGACTGGAGTCAGGGGTGTACACTGACTAGACGAAGTGAGGTACCCCTCGAATGTGACGCAATAAGGAACCTGGCGTTTTGTCACATTCGTTTCAACGTGATGTCACGTCCCGGGAAAAGAAAGTGTAGGCGGACCACCCAGAAAATACCATTTACGAAATATTTCGTCATTATGGGTATGAGTTTTCCATGACAGACATTTTCCCTGTACAAAGTCGTTATTTTACGACAAATGTAGCGAAGAATAACTAGTTATTTTACGAAAAAAATTCACACCATTGTGGCTTGTTTTGAGTATTTTTGGAAGAATTTTACGTACAATTCGTCTTAAGTGTTTCACGAGAGGCTCGTATTATGACGATTTAGGACGGGGACCACTTGGGTTGGGACCGGATAACGCCGGGACGTATTGTGCTGGGTACGAGTCGGTAGGGACGAGTTGTCCTAGACCCTTGCGAAATAAGATTATTCGTTGCGAAATTTGTCTTAAAGTCTCGAAAACTTTTTTTCAGTGCAGAGGTTCCCCAGATGACGAGTCCTGCAGGATTTCCCCATGCAATCGTCTAGTTTCAGAGTTAAAGGGAACCCCAGTCGTCACATGACGCCTCTGTCCTCTGTTCCAGGAAAACTGGAGGTCACAGTTACCATCTGAGGAATCATTGCTTTGTGCAGGTGTCACGTGTGGAAAGAGTGATATGCAATGCACCAATGGTAGGTGCGTCCTTTCCAAGAATAAGTGTGACGGCTACAACGACTGCGGCGACGGAAGCGATGAGATCGCAGAGGTGTGCGAAACAGGTACGCTACAGTGGTAGAACAACGACATGAAAACTCTTTTACGCCCTTCCCAAGGGCATAAATCGTTTCATGCCCTTGGGAAGGGCGTTGATGGTATAAGAATTTAAAGCAAAATTTTAATGCCCCTCCCAAAGGCATTACTGAGTTATGCCCTTTAAGGGCGTAAATCGTTTACGCCCTTAAAGGGCATAATATTAATGCCTTCGTTTCACCAGTGCAAACAACTTGGCCCACAGCATCAATAGGTAAAGGGCTTTACCATATAGGCTTCCTGGAAAAACCAGATACCGTTCTCACCTTGTACCTTGCAGGCGGTCTATGTAGTACCGGGGGTGGGGAAATTTCCCCAAAACGCACGCATGAGGGGCAGTATGGCGTCGAACGGGCATAGGCCTATTCATCTCGACGCGATTTCCAGGGAGTTCCTGTAAAAACCAGAAACCGTTTTTTCAACGAGTAGGCAACAAGCACGTCTTCGCTTGCCCCTTAACCCCTTAACTTTAGGCAGGCAAAAATCGCCTCATTACCCCCTTCTTAGAAAATTCCTGGACCCGGGCTTGCAGTCCCTGCGGTCCCGCTGCCAGTGGGCTACACTGTGGCGGCCACGGTGCGCCTGCTGGAAGCACACGGCGCCCCCGTCATCCTCGCCTGCTATCAGTGGATCTGCGTCCGGGTCGACTTGGGATGCCTCAGCCCTGGCGGCGCGCTGGGGTTCTCCTCCGCCCACGGCTGCAACATCCGTGGAGGCGGCTGCAACGGCTGGAAGAGTGTAAGTAGAATCATCACCCTGCAAAGTTCTCATTTTGACAAATGTGGCGCCATATTCGCTGAATTGCAGTGTGAGTGAATCTGTTCACTCACTCGTGAATTCAAGACTTAAAAGTGTTGAACGTCCTTGACGTTGGCGAGTGCGGGTACAGGGGAGGGGCAAAGGAGTTTTTGCTTCTCCCTAGCGCTTTTTAGATAGCCGAAGATCAATTGCAGTCGAGTCGTTAATAGCAATGGCCTGCAAGGTAGACAACAGGGCGAACTCTGCCCCTGTATTTAGGCGAAAAGTTCTACTTGGCCCCATTTGAAAACCGCCTTGGGATTCGCCACTGGAGGTTGGAGGTTTGACACTGTTAAACTCCTTATGGTGGCTAAAGTGAAAATCTGTCTCAAAATTTAAGGTTTTTCGTTCTGTTAGTGTGTCAAGTTGACGCTTACACTGGCTTGTCATGAAGCTTTAAGATTAAATGTTTCACGTCATACTTTCGAGAGACCCTGAGAGACAATTGGGCTATAATCAACGCTTTCGCTCTCATTTCAGAAACGTGACATCACGTTGAAACGAGTGTGTCAAAATTTCACGTTCCTTTGAGCATTGTCACATTCGTTTGGATGTGAATAAGCTCATCTATGTATGATTCCCATACGAGCGTGAACGAAAGTGTAACCAACGCTTTTCCTTGGTCAACTGAAATACGTCTTGAGTGTAATGTGTCCGCAGGGAGTTCCAGATGACTGCCAGGAACTGACAGAAGGTGAATACACCTTTGTGATGGAACGGCGCTTGGTTCGGGGTAAGTTACACATGAATTACATCTTTGGCCCCTACCGTTTTAAAATAGGTTTGGTTTAATTGATCCCGAAGCGGAGGAAGGTTTCACTGCATCAAATCCTTACGTTAAAATGCACTACGGAGTCATGTCAACTTGGGTATCCCCAACGAGTTAGAGTTAGAATTTACACTAGTCGCACTCCGTTCTGCAAGGGCGGTGGCGAGTTCACTTGCCACAAACTGGCAAGCCGTTTTGAATCCCGAAAATTCGCAAGCCTGGCCCTGAAATACTCCACCGCTCATCAAAGCTTGGCATTCCAGGCGTCTAGTATTGGCCAGCTGATGAAGATTTCAGGTCAAAGGGTACTATTTTTGGGTAATGAATAGCTTGCCAATTATGTGGCAGGCAAACTTGCCATCCGATTCGCAGTGCACGAGGAGGTTAAATATAAGTTTTACACTTAAACATGTTTTAACACGTTTTACGTATTAACGTTAAGAACTATTCAAAAAAAATAAGAAGAGCCAAACCCTTTCATGAATTTCATCGACGGAGTCATGTGGAATTAAGTTGACTCATCTCCTTTTTCCGTTGAAATTTTGTGCCCAAGTAAAGGTTTAGTCATACCATTATTTTTCATATTGATTTGCCGCAACTCTATGCATTTCCGCTGAAACAAAAACCAATTTAACCGTCTCAAGAATAAGCTTTTTTTTTTTGTTTTGTTTTGAAAAACATGTTTATTGGTTCATAGAATCTCTCAACAGTAAAAATAAAACAACAACAATAAAAGATAATAATAAAATTGAACCTGAACAGCACCTGTTCCGTGTTCTGTGCAACACTGTGAAAATTTGTTGTCATTTTATGACAAAAACGCGGATGGCATTTTCATCACTCTCATATCATGACAATCTCATCACAAATTGATGACATTTCCATCAAAGCTCCTAATACTTATTGCATGGACGTGACAACAATGTCATTGATTTTTTTGATGACAGTGTTGTAAGGAAAATTAGCCTTGAAATTGTCATCAAGTGACGACTCAAATTTCCACAGTGAAGGTGTCTGAGTAACGCCGGGTCAATTCATCTTCCACCAGATCCATTATCTTCACGGTCCACCGATCCGTTTCTATTTCTATGGCTGGAAGGCCGGCCTGACCTCTCGATATCCGTTTTCTTGGAAATGGGCAAAAACGTGCTCACCTATTCTAGCAACTCCGAGGTTCTCGCCATGACACTCAAGGTGCGGCCAGAATACTGGATAAGTGACATGGATGTGCAGTTCAACGGTAAGTGTCATCTCCGCTTTCGTTTGTTCCAATCTTGTGTCGGGTCAGAAGAAGTCCGGTTGCTCGTTTTCTACATCGTCCTCGTGGGTTTTAGTGCTTAATACCGTGGCGGTTGCGTGTTAAGGTTCGTAGCATCGGTTTTTACCCGAACAGTTTTAGGTGCCTGAACTTGAACTTCGTCACATGCAATATGGCGTTCAGTTCCTTGTTTTTTTTTTTAAAGGGACAGATTCTTTGGACTGAGGTCGTGTTGCGGAGGATCCAACGCAACTTATGATACACTCTCAGACTCGTATTGACCTTTTTATCTTTTGCCATAAAGGTTTTTGTGCAAACGTAATATGATCCAGGAAGCGGAAGAAGGGGATAACTCAATTTTGGCCATTTTCCAGGAGAAACCAAAAACTGTTAGGAGGGAAAACTAAAACAAAACAAATGAATGTTGCACATGTTAATAATTTCAAAAAGCATTAGTAAAATTTTGGAAAAAAAAATAAAAAGTGTAAGGTCACTCCGTAGAGGATTTCTGCGACTTATCGCTTTCCGTTGAAATGGAAAACAGAGTCAGCTCACCTTATATTTCCTAAACAAAGAGGAATTTGGAGACAAGTCAAGTGGAACAATAGTCTGCATAAAGTGTATGTTACTCTGGTGTATTTTTTGGACTTAGCTCTTTTTTCCAAATTGAAATTTAAAATTAAGGGGGGGCTAAGTTGAGTTGATTCTTTTTACACGAGATTCATAAAAATACAAGTTGAGTTATATCCTTTTGCCAATTTGTCAAACGGACTCATGTGGACTTCCGTTGAGTTATCTCTATTTTCCAATGAAATTTAGATCGTAAAAGGGGTTAAGTTGAGTTATACCCTTTTTCCATGTGGATTTTCTCCTAAACTGCTTGGAATTCAGTCAAATAATTTGGTGTAGTGATGGAAACCATTCTAAGGCACAATATTAAAATACAAACTCAATTTGGGGATAAGTCAAGTTATTCCCTTCTTCCGCTTCCTGGATCATATGTACTATTTTCTCTTTGGCTATTCACTATTTTGTTCGTTGTATAATGTTTATAGTCCATTAAACCGGACTTAATGTCATTTGCAATGTACTTTTCAATTTCTATATGCTCTATTGACAACTACAGGGTGAGTTTTCTCAATGTGTCAATAACTTGTAGGTAGTTTGGGCACCCCAAGGCGATCATTTTCTTTTCTACCAATGAACCAGTGGGCGCAAACGTCTAGGTACGGAGATGATTGGTGTTTTGGAATTGGCCTTCGCGCCTGCGAGGTACGCACCCGCTGCCACTGGGTCGCAGGACCTCACGTGGGGGTGTCGCGGGTCTAGAAGGGCTGCTTCGAGTCTCGTTGGGGTGCGGCGGACCTTGCAAATGTCTTTTGGGAGGGGTTGCCGCGGGTCTCAAGAGGCTGTCATGGTGGCCCCCGTTACAGTGGATCTCACGGCTGTCTTTGGGAGGGTGGCGGGATTCCTCGGATACTTCCGCGAGGTGAGTGGCACTCCCGCGAGTACTGCTAGTCCCGCGACACCTCCTCGACAGGTCCTGCCGCCAAGCAAGAGAGAAGAAAGTCCATATAGGTCTGAGCGTGTATGATTAAGACTATTCCTTGCCATTAGGACTGGAACTTCACTCTCATTCCAGGAACGTGACATCACGTCGACACGAACGTGACAAAGTGTCACGTTCGTTTGAGCATTGTGTCACATTCGTTGAATGTGATTTTTGGCTGATTCACATCCACACGAATGTGACTCAATGCTCAAACGAACGTGACATTTTGTCACGTTCCTGGAATGAGAGTGTTATTGCACATTGAGGGCTTCATTCGTCATCCGATATCTCGAAAATGTCTATGAACGGTTTTGTGGAACTGTCACTCTGATTACTGGCCTTATTCGAGGGGTAGGTTGAGTAAAAGAGCGTAGAGTACTGCCGCAGGCCACGCTGGGCTTCGTTTGCCGTTGCGTTTACATGACTTACAGTATCTCTCATATGTCATCAGCAATCGGAGTGACAGTTACACCAAACCGTCCCTAAGGCCTCCCTTCACGATCTTGTATAAAATATTTTTAGATGAATCGAATAAATATTTAAAGAACTGAAACGCACACGGCGCCTGCAGCTCGCTTCTGCTGCAGCTGCGAGGCGGCAGCGTTGCCACGTCAGGCGCGATAGCCGTGGAAAAGAGGTCGTTTACGTTCAACCCGGACTTTCTTGCAGTGGTGGAGCTGAAACCGACAGAAACTGGTTCTACAGCGACTTCAGACCCTGCAGTCACGGACTCCTCGTCGTCTGCGCCTGCTCCGAGGGTAACAGCAACGGACTCTTAAAGCATTAGCGAACAGAAAGACTAGTGAATATTTCATAGAGAGATAATTTTACTGTCTTCAACAGTCTTTCAACCAACTATGACATATACAAGTCACTTTTGTAACGGGGACTTAACAGGAATCACGAGGATCAGGCGTATACGCCGAAAGAACAAATGTGAAACCAACCCGTCGCTGATACCCAGATGAATTTTTAATTTGGACTGCATTGTCTCCGTTGCAAAGGATTATTGATTCTTGACCTTTCTCTTTCAAACTAACGTCCTTGTTGCAAAAGCAGTCGCTTCCCAATTCTTTCTCCTGTTTATTTTAAACAATTACCCTAAGTAAAGAGCATATTTATCAAATGTTTGCATTTTTCAAATCCAACTTCTAGCAGGGCCAGAAGTGAGAACAAAAAGAAGAAAATGAACCGGAAACAGCTGCCAAAGAACGCTCATTTTTTGATGATGGGTGTCTACACTGGTAAAACAAAGGCATAAAAATTACGCCCTTGAGGGCATAAATACTCCGTTACGCACTGTAAAAATTAATGTCCGGAATAAACGACGGATCCTTCGGCAAAAAAATTGCCAACGGTTCCTTCGTTAATTTACGAAGCTCTTCGTATATTCACTAAAACCTTCGTTAATTTTTTGAACGATCTCTGTCGATTTTACAATCTTAATGGAAATTTACGAAGCACCTTCGTAAATCTACAAAGATCCTTCGTAAATTTACAGGGAACCTTCGTTAATAAACAAAGAACCTTCGTCAATATACAAAGAACCTTCGTAATTATACGTCTGGAATCAACGACGGATCCTTCGGCAAAAAAATTTCCAACAGTTCCTTCGTTTATTTACACTGCAAACTGAATGGAAAGACATTACGCCAAAATGTGGCGAGAAAAAAAGTCTCGCCACTTTTTGGCGATACTTTCATGTCTCGCCACAATATGGTCAGATTCAAATGTCTCGCCAATTTATGGCGAGACTTTTTGTCTCGCCAAATAGGGCCCCAAAATTATTTAAATAGGGTAGGCAATGCATGGATTCATAGCAAAATACAAAAACTACTGCATTATTCACAAAATTCACGAGAAATCATTTCTGATCACCACTGATAGTTGTTTGACCCACTGGGGACTCTCAAGAGTAACGCTGTTTGTTTCGCTCATAAACCAAGAGGTGCGTCTTCACATAACAGGGCCGCTCACATTCAGTTTCATTGAAATCAGATTGTACTCACAATAATCACAGTAGCACTGTGGCTATGAAGAAATTTGCAGGCAGGTTAGAGTTGATTCATCCAATAAAGATTGTCTACAAACATGTAGCTTTGAGTACTGTACAACTTAGCCCAGAGAACAGATGGTGCAGACTGTTGATGAACTTAACATTTTGACAGTTCTCCTTTTTCACACGCAGTTTGACAATAGCTCGAACGATTAAAAAAACATCTTCGCAAACAGATAACCCAGTTGGGAACAGTCGTCATTGCTCGAAACTAGGAAAAACTAAATTATATCGTTGCAAGTCAAACAATCGCTCAGAGGCTGGCAGCCATTTTAGAGGCTATGTTTTTGTTTTTGACAGAAGAGGTTATGGGCATTTTTGGGCGTGACGATTTTGATTCAGATTCGGGTTGGGAAAATTATACGCATGACCAAACCAGTATTCGCAGTCACATCCTCACATCTCGTAAACAAAAGTAACCTGAGGAAATGGCCGCTGGTTATCATGTTTTCCTCCCGACTTTGCATCAATAAATTAAGTTTTTTCTAGTTTGGAGCGATGACGACTGTTGCCAACTGGGTTATCTGTTCGCGAAGATGTCTTTTTATCGTTCGAGCTATTGTCAAACTGCGTGTGGAAAAGGATAATTGTCAAAATGTTTAGTTCATCAACAGTCACACCATCTGTGCTCTGGACCAAGTTGTACAGTACTCACAGCTACATGTTTGTACACAATCTTTATTGGATGAATCAACTCTCAACCTGCCTGCAAATTTCTTCATAGCCACAGTGCTACTGTGATTATTGTGAGTACAATCTGATTTCAATGAAACTGAATGTGAGCGGCCCTGTTATGTGAAGACGCACCTCTTGGTTTATGAGCGAAACAAACAGCGTTACTCTTGAGAGTCCCCAGTGGGTCAAACAACTATCAGTGGTGATCAGAAATGTTTTCTTATGAATTTTGTGAATAATGCAGTAGTTTATCTATTTTGCCATGAATCCATGCATTGCCTACCCTATTCAATAATTTTGGGTCATATTTTGGCGAGACAAAAAAGTCTCGCCATAAATTGGCGAGACATTTGAATCTGACCATATTGTGGCGAGACATGAAAGTATCGCCAAAATGTGGCGAGACTTTTTGTCTCGCCTCTCCAGAGGCGTAAAGTCTGACCTTTGGATTTGTAGTGTACGAAGGTCCGCCGTAGATTTACGAAGACCCGTCGTAGATTAACGAAGCCCGTCATAAATTTACGAAGCCCTTCGTAAATTTACAACAGATTCTGTACATTTACGATTTTTCTTCGTAAATTTACTAAGAACCTTCGTAAATTAACGACGAACTTCCGTTGATTTACAAAAGTTCCTGTAGGAAAGAAACATTTACAGTGCACTTTTGGACATTCCCAAAAACCTTCGTAAAATATTCCGTTGTAAATTCACAACATAATTTTTACAGTGCGCCCTTCCAAGGGCATAAATAGTTTTATGCCCTTGGGAAGGGCGTAAATGGTATAGGAATTTCAAGCAAAATTTTAATGCCCTTCCCAAAGGCATTAACGATTTATGCCCTTTAAGGGCGTAAATCGTTTACGCCCTTACAGGGCATAATTTTTATGCCTTTGTTTCACCAGTGTATTCTTAATCTAAAAATTCAAGAAAGCTTAGTTTTATGATGAAATCTGATTTAAACCTGCCAAAACCCCCGAAAAGGCCGATTTCTTGTACTGTTTCCGGTCTGTTCATTTTCATATTCCTCACTTCAGGCTCTACTAGGAGTGTCTATTGAGCTTAGGGAATGGCGCTGTGCAAGTGTCGTGCGGGTTGCCTGAATACCCCTCAGGTAGGGCGTCAGTAACCTCGCCAACATACCCACTTGAAAACATGGGACACCAAGAGAGGTCCTAAATTTTTTCGACCTGGTTCAAGCCCAGTGACGCTTGGCTTACTGAGCCCTCGCGTACAATAACATCAAGCCATTCTCAGGTTATATTTTACAGTTTCTGATCGCAAAGTTGGTATTGGACACGCCGGGTGCTGGGCCTCTTAACCTTGCAAATATGTGTCGGGTATGTAGATAAATCTTTATTCAATGTACTACTTCACGACTACTCTCCTCGCATCAACGCGCAACCACTTTTACCCAGTCTGAAGCAAAGCCTAAGTAAAATCAAAGAATTCGAAGTGTTCGGAAGGTGAACTCTGACATTAGCCCGCCCATCTCAGTCACTGTCTGCCACCTGTCATGGCTGTCACTCATACGTTCGACACCAGTGTTGCAAACCTACAGTTTTCAAATTCAACACTGACAGTTAGGTCTCACTACAAGGTAGGTGTAGGCCAGACAGTGGCTTGTCGTAACAGGCTTCGCAATGCTGCGCCAGTTCCGGCAATCCACGCCTGGCGTTAAAACGAGGGAGGGAGAGAGAGCGAGTGACAGGAAGCTGGTCCTCTTCCCCACCCGAGTGACGTACTTTGTTATCACTCAGTCAATAAAAGTACAATAATATTTAGAGGGTGGAGACTCTTTTATTCTCAGTAACTGCTGCCCTCTGAAGACAGATTTCATCACGTTGGTGCCATGAGTTATCGGGTGCGGAGAGGCTTGGCCAGGGAGGCGACGATGCACGCCTGCGCCTGGGCGACGAGCGCAGCGTCGATGTTCTTGCCGGTGAGGCAAGGCACGATGAAGTCGACCAGGGACTCCTTGGGGTATCCGTTCTGGGCCTCGATGAGCGCGTTGTTGCGGCAGTCGGCGGCGGGGCTGAAGGTGTTGGTGTCGACGATGCCGGCCTGGCACGCCTTGATGCGGCTGCCGATCTCCTCTCGCTGCCGCGAGGAGTAGGTCGCCTGCAGGGCACGGAAACATCACTCTAGAAACGTCGTTTTCGCAAAAACGTCATGAAAACTAAACGCATTCAGATAGAAACTACAAACTGAACCTGAAAAACCAAATCCCAAGAGAAACTAAGACCGCCAGGGCATTTTGGCGATTAACGAACAATTATCTTGTATCGAGGTCATATTTCGATCAGGACAAATGTTCTCTATATGCAGTTTGTCTCCACAAAATTTTAAGAAATCCTGTTATCTATTTAGCTGGAACAGTTCGGAAATCTTGACCACCTTATTGGGGTGTAGCGTGAAAAGTACTAGCAGGCGACTTTAACAACTCTGCAGTTCGGCTCACCACGAGAAGAATGCATCAAAAAAAGAGAAAAGAGAGAATTCAAGCAACATTTCGAGTCATCAACAAACTTCCTGGTAGTCATTGTGCTATTCAGAACACATATTGCTGCAAAAATTGTTTATCTTCTACATATTTTTATATCGAAAAATTATCTAGCTGAGTTACCTTTTCTTAAAATGATCCTTATAAATTTCAAGAAATGGTGAAAATAATAAACTGTAGGGTCAGTGCGGGGAAAAACTGGACAGGGGAAGAACAGGGGGAGAAACCACATTTTGCTTCAAGTGCCGTATGCATAGGCTTAAAAACTGTCTTGTAATGAACCGCTGATGCAACGGAACTACTTTTGATAGTTGTTATGCCTGTGCATACGGTATTTGAAGTAAAATATGGGGTGTCCAGTTCTTACCTGTCCAGTTCTTCCCCGCACTACAAACCTATCTGTCAACTAAGTACACACTTACAAGCGCATGCTTGACGCATGGAGTTATAGGGCATCAAGCATGCGTTTGTAAGTGTGTACTTGGCCAAGCATGCGTTGGTAAGTGTGTACTTGCAAGCATGCATTTGTAAGTGTGTACTTAGTAGACAGTTAGGTTTGCAGTGCGCCCTGACCCTACAAAGTACAACGATGCTTGGACTGGACTGCTTTCGGCACGCCACGAATTGTACTTCAAACAATTGGCGTACTTTGAAAGTACAATTATTTTAGATGAGAATTTTCCAGGAATTACTGCAGGGTGGTTGTGTTTTTTCTTTCAGCAGTGTACTGACCCAGCACACTGATAATACTGTCCCTTTGCAGAATGACAAACGACTTATACCAATGGAATCTCACCTTCTTGAGCGCAGGCTTGACGGGCTTGGCCAGGGACTCGGTGAGGCACTGCTTGGCGGTGGCCACGATGTCGGCCTTGACGGGGTCCCTGTAGTTCGCCAGGCACGAGGCGATGAAATCAGCCTGAGACTCCTTCGAGTAGACGCTCCTCAAATTGTCCCGGGCTTTGTACATGCAATCCGTAGCGGGATAGCTGAAGCCACGCTCGGGCACAGGCTTCAGGCAGACTTTGATGCGAGCGACTAACTCGTCGATTTGGTTGAAAGCATAGTTGTCCTGCGTCCAGGTAAAAGAAAATAAGTTTAACATCCACTCTTAAAACCTTGCGAACCGATGTGTTTGTAAGCTTGCGAAGAACCTGACTTGTTCGCAATGCAAAGAACACATCCGTATTGCAAATCAGTAGTTCGCAACTTGCGAACAAGTGCTTCGCAATTTGCGAACAACCTGTTTGTATTGCGAACCCTTTGCAAACACGTTGTTCGCAAAATTGCGGACTATCAGTTCGTAATACAATCAAGCCAAACTCTTCGCAAGCTGCAAACCAAATGGTTTGTAATGCGAACACACTCTTCGCAAGGTTTTTAGAGTGTCGGATTCACTGGAATAATTCGAAAAGGGAATTATGGCATATTATGGAGAAGAAATGACTGCGTACTTTTTTGGCTATCTGGACAGAATTGAGCATTCGCGTGAAACGCATCAATTCGTGCGCAACAACGCACAGTCGCACACCTTCGTAATTCCTCTGCAAACGCAAGTGTGTGTGTGTGTGCATGGCACCTACTTTAAAATGAATGCACTTTCTAACTGTGTGCCCAGGACCCAGGCGGTCTCCGTCTGGCACGCTGGACTATAGTGTGTGCCTGCCGGCAAGCACCCAATTTAAAGCAAGGTGCCTGCAAGCACACACCTATGAACAGTGTGCACAGGGGCAAACATTTTCTGGCAAAGGCAAACATAAACAGACTTGCGTTTGCACAGTAGTTGAGAATGAAAGTCATGGTCATGACTAAAATTTTGGGCGAGGAATTCTTTATTACCCAATTATTACCCAAATTTGGGTGCGGAAGGTTTCCTCGCCCACTCTGCAAACTCAAGTGTGTGCCTGCAGGCATGCACCAAGAAGTGCATGCCTGGCACACACTTGAGTTTGCAGAGCAAATTTCCCGCCACCGAAATTTGGGTCATCATAATACTATGGACCCATGTAGGTAGCTGAAACACCCTTCCTCACCCAACTTTGAGCGAGGAACCCATCCTCACCCAAATTTGGGTGATACAGTATATCTCGCCCAAAATTGGGTAATGATCATGCCTCTTTAATCGCATGAACAATTTTGTGCAAAGCTTACGCACAAGAAACTGCAATGTAACTACGTGTGTTCACTTACGGCAGCATAAGCGGCCGCCACAAGGGCGCAGACAACGAGAAGGCTGCGGAACATGTTGCTGCACCGTCGACTGGACGAAGACTGTGGAAAGGAGCGGGCCTCAAGCACCTGGTTTGGCCGCGACCTCTTTCTGCACTTGACAAGAAACGTGGCTCTGTTGGCTGATATACTCAACCAAACGCGATGCTGTCTCGGTCCTGCATGCTCAAAAGGTGTCTCTAGCGACCTGCATTGGCCGCATCACTAACGGACGCGTACTTGCAGAGCAAGACCCAATTATTCGCCGAGATGACGATAACTGTACCCCTGCCGATAACTGTATAGTTTACCCTATTCACTGCCGAAGCGAGGGAACTCCAAACCATCAAACCATCAATGACCAAGGGGCAAACCATGCCCAAAGTTCGCAGTGCTCTTAACCAAGATGGTGTCAACGCTATCATTGGTCATTATTGTACAAGGTAGGTTCACGCCAGACCGTGTCTTGTAACAGGCTTCGCGATACTGCGCCAGTTTTGACAACCCACGCTGGCGTATACTCCTACCTGAGCCTACGGCGCTAGCCTGCCTTCGGCAGGCTGCTTTGCTAGACAGACCGTAGAAATGCGCGTGATCCCCTCAAAATATAGCATTTAGTCATCAGAATCTACACTAATGGGACTAAACTTTGGGTTGCGGGTCCGAATGGGTTCTATTTTCGTCATCAGCAGCCTCAAAACCATAGAAAACGACATGAAACTTGCAAAAAGTTGTCTTTTTCCTGCCGTGTTTTAAGTGTTTTTTGGCTAAAATGACCAAACGAGACAGAAAGCTGAATTTTGGTGTGTGACGAGCCAAGGACATACCTAATGACCCTGTAAAATCTCAGCCAGATCAGCCGAGCCGTTCAGGAGGAGTAGTGCGTGCACACACACGCACGCAGACACGAAAAGTTTTTTAACCGCACTGGAGTAACGGGCTTCGCTATCGCTCAGCCAACAAGCAGGGCTGAACATGACTTGCACACCATCAAACTGATACATTTTCTACTTTTTGTTCCAGGTCCGGAGAAGAGACGAGCAAAGGCATGTTGAGAGAGGATATGGTCTCGCGGAACCGTCCTTTCCAGTTGGAACTAATGTGGCTGAACACGCCTTGCGTTCTGTCAAGCTCTAATTGGCTGAGCTGTAGCGAAGCCCGTTACTCCAGTGCGGTTGAAAAGTTTTGTCTGTCTGTTGTTTTTGTTGTAGTTGCTTACTCGAACGCTAGAGGTCTGCTGAGGCCTAACAGCGCTGATGATGATGAGTGTGTGTGTGTGTGTGTGCGCACTACTCCTCCTGAACGGCTCGGCCGATCTGGCTGAGATTTTGCAGGACCATTAGGCATGTTCTTAGCTCGCCACACACCAAAATGTAGCTTTCTATCTCAATCCATTCGGTCATATTAGTGTAAAAACACTTTACAAACGGCAGAAAAAAGACAACTTTTTAGGTACTTTCAACTTCTTGTCAAGTTTCGTGTCGTTTCTTATGTTGTTGAGGCTCCTGATGACGAAAATAGAACCCATTCGGACCCCCGACCCAAAGTTAAGTCCCATTAATGTAGGTTCTGATGACCAAATGCTATTTTTTCAAGGGATCACGCCCATTTCTGGTCTGTCTGGCAAAGCAGCGTGCCAAAGGCAGGTTAGCGCCGCAGGCCAAGGTAGGTGTACACGTTAGGCGTGGATTTTGTCGAAACTGGCGCAGCATCGCGAAGCCTGTTATGTCAAGACATAGTCTGGCGTACACCTACCTTTTATTTCTACTATTTGTTCTATGTTTGAAGGAGAATCGAGTAAAGGTTTAATGCGAGGGGATGTGCTCTCGCGGAACAGTGTAACTTTAGCTGAAACGGAAAATTCTTGGGTCTACCGTTGTGCGGGTTTTGGATTTAACATTTTTTCCCGATGCCAACGACTCTTTGCCTGAACTTCGGAATTCGTCACCACGACCATATAGGGTACTTTCGTAGATCCTGAACCGGAAGCAAGCAGGCCAGCAGACGCCAAATTGGCCGAAAACTAACCTCTCTTCGGATCTAAAACTATAACAGAGCTGTACAAAAATTGATCGCGTAACACATATGCACTGCAAACAAGTATCAAACGACTGTTTATGTTCAAGTGTGGCCGATACGTTTTACTAACGTCTCTTTCCCATGTCAAGGTTAGATCTACTTCCGCCAACATGGCGTCTGTGTGCTTCCGGTTCAGGGATCTACGAAAGTATCCTATTGATATTGTCATGACACGTGCCTAAACCTGACTTAGCTCATGTTACGACAATACCAATCGTGGCAGCCGAATGTTCGGTGGCTTAGTTCTATTATGGTTTCTGGAATAAATTTCTTTTATCTGTCCCGAAGATAACACTGCGAATTAAGAGGCATAGTCAGGACTAACATTTCGGGTGACGTATACTGTCATCCATATTCGGGAGAGGATCATTTTGTCACCCAAATTTCGACGGGGAAAGTTTCCTTACTCATATTTGGTTGATAATACTTTTTAGGTAGAGGTAGACAATACACCCTTCACACAGTAAATTGAAATGGCAGAATCTGTAGTGGTCTGAGAGCCCCAAATCGCAGAAACCGACAGGTAAATACCGGGGCGGTTTTGCACCAAAACCGCCAACGGCAAATCCATTCTGCGCACAGGCGACGGAATCCGGACTACACTGCACCGTAATCGTCAACTGCGATTCCCTCCACCTCGCGACTTTGAGATGTTATATTATTGGAATTAAAGAGTGTAGATGTACCGCGTAAGGAAAATATTAATTTATAGACTTGTCAAAGCAAGAAAAAGTATGCACACTCATCAAAATATGTGAATCATGTCCAAAACAACAAAAGCATCCAGAGACACAGTGAGGTTAGGTTGGTCAGCGAGACCGCAACCCCTTGGCAGTTTCTGTGAGCCCATCCCAGTTTCTGTGGAGCCTTTGTCAGTTTATGTTAGCCCATGCCAGTTTCTGTGACTACCAAATTCAGAATCATTAACTGGCGGTTTCTGTGCCGAACCGTTACGGATTCCGCCATTTGAATTAACTGTGCATCACCCAAATCTGGATCAGGAAAGCCTCCTCGCCCAAATTTGGGTGATGTAATTATACTCACCCTAAATTGGATATTCATCAACATTCTTTCATTCTCAGTGAACCTAGTGTTCTTTTGACACATTTTGAAAACATTTCGGTTTCAATCTCATTTATTTCCGAGAAATTCCTCCAATTACCAGTTTATTTTACAATTTTCGAAAAGAGCCGCGAACCAACTCTGCGACTCGTTGAAACCTTCAGCGTCGAGCTGAGCGCTGCCTCCGACCCTCGCGGAGCGAGTGGCGCTCTGCACCCTCAGATCCTTTAAGGGTCAGCGTCACATGCGTTGAAATGGCACCATGAATCATAGGGTCAGTTGGGGTAATCATGGGACACGGGGTAAAAATGGGACAGCTGATTACAAGTGAAGAATCGAAATTTTACCACTTCTGCCGTAGCGAATATTTTTTTTTTTAAGTAAAACTATCACATTTGGTATGTCATGCGTTCAAAAATGTCAAATCTTGACTGAGAATCAGCTGTCCCATTTATACCGTGTCCCATAATTACGTGCAAATTTAAGCGTAACTTACGGTGACAAATCATCACAATCCGCACGAAAACGATCGTATGGTATTTGACGCATACCCCTCCCCTTTTTCTAAAAAAAAAAAAAAAACAATTGCAAGCAATTTAACTCACTTTATTGTATCGATTGGTGTACATACCCAACTGCTGCAAGCCTAGCAGAACCCAGGTTATTAAACTATTCATGCGCGTTTACGAAACAATCCGTAGGTTAAGAAACAGAAAGATTTGAAGCTATTCTGAACTTAAGAGAACAACGCTACCATGTTGTGAAATTTGCGATTTTTGTAAAATTTATATCCGTGTTCGAAAAATTACCATCAACACTGCTATGAAAATTCAAAACTTTTTAACAGTAACGATATGATCTGTTCCGAAACATTGCGTGGTCGTCGGTTTCCTGTATATTGTTCCAAAAAAGAAAACAAAACCCTGTTCCACCGATTTACCTTGTTCTTTGCATGGCTGTGGCACCCATTAGGACTATTTCGATTTGCATGTTGGTTTGCACGTTGGTTTGCACGTTTGTTGGTGATGCGGGAATGAAATGAAGCAGGTTGCGGACATAGTGGACTTAATTTGAAATTTCTTGCAGGTTTCCTCCGGGACTGTGCTGAATACGACGCCGACTCTGAAGGAGATCCAGACTTGAAGGGTAGGTCGTAAATTAAATCATTCCTGAACTGGAAAAAGGACAGTGAGGGTCGGGATTGGTGATGAAGGCAAAATTCGCGTGTCCCTTTCGTACATCCAAATTCATTCTTGTACTTAGACTCGGTAGTGCTGGGGTAGTGAGTTGCCTTCAAAACAAAAAATACAAACTTTCATTGCGTGGTTGAACCTTTAATCAAGATAACTTTTTTTCCTCCTGCAAATTCCCGAAAATTTTCGTGTCTTAAAATGTGTGTAGAGGTGCCAAGTTGTTTTCGTTTCTCTTCTGAAATAGGAATTCCCCTCCCCCCTTTTTCCCACCCTTCTCCGAATCGCCAAGAAAATCCAAACCCGCGATCTATGTAATGTAATCCGTGCTTGGTCATAAGTTAACTCTGCGAATTGGATGGAATGATTTTGCGTCAAAATATGTCGTATGGCGAGAAATGAGGTATATGGCGAGACAAGTTTTGGTCAGACCTGAAAGTCTCGGCAAAATTTGGTCCGACAAAAAAGTCTCGCCACAAAATGGCTAGACTTCTGCCTGCACTGAGAATGAAAGAGTCATGATCATGACTAAAATTTTGGGTGAGGAATTCTTTACTACCCAAATTTGGGTGAGGAAATTATCCTCGCCCAAATTTGGGTGAGGAAAGTTTTCTCACCCAAATTTGGGTCATAATACTATGGAGCTATATAGGGAGCTGATACACCCTTCCTCACCCAAAATTGGGTGAGGAAGCTTTCTCCACCCAAATTGGGCGAGGAAACATTCCTCGCCCAAATTTGGGCGAGAAAGTAAACCTCGCCCAAAATTGGGTATTGATCATGACTTTTTCATTCTCAGTGTGACCACGGCCTTTGGGCCGTAACCGCCCCGCGCATTAGTGTAGGCCTTTGGGGGGCGGCCAGACACAAAAGTCTCGCCATTTTGTGACGGCACTTTTGTGTCTGACTATTTTATGGCAAGACTTTTTTGGTTGACCGAATTTTGGTGAGACTTCATGTCCCTCTGGAGTGGTGAGAAGTCTGACCTTTGGATTTGTAGTGAACTTCTTCTTTTTCTTCTGTTTCTTCTTTTTAGATGCAGGCATGGGAGAGTCTTTGCAGCTCCTTTCGTGCGAGGCGTTTCAGTTTCCTGTCTTGAAGAGCCCTTTTTCTGACGACGAAGAAGATCCGGTCGAAGAAGTTCCTTCAGTTTCGAACAGGGAGGGACGGCGCTCCTCGGACTCCGACGTTCCTCTTGCGATTCGCCTAAGACGCCGGCGGCAAGCTCGCCGCAAGCGAGACCGCCCGAGATCTTCGCGAGGCATGGCCGAAGACCACCGCTCAGCGCAGCCTGCGCCCGACTCCGAAGAGGGTGCCGAGCCCTCGCGCGCACTGTGCGGCAACTGCAAGGGTCCACTGAAAAGGGGACCTGGCCGTCCCAAGAGGAAGAGGCGTGGCAGGCCGCCGGGTAGCGGTTCTTCAAAGAAAAAGAAATGATGTACCTTCCTAGATAAGAAGAAACGAGCCGGTGGGCTCTTATCACTCTAGCTTTAGAAACCGATGCCGTAGGAACCTTCTTAGTTCCACGCAATTTAAGTGTAGATTCGAGCAAGTTGCACAAAGTGCAAACGTTGGTTTGAAGAGTTGCACCATCAATAATTTAACAGTTCATTAGTTCCTTGCCAGGTCCAAAAGTCTCGGTAGGAACCAAATGGCCAGCGCGTCTCCTTAAAACAAGATTTGTATTGCGAGATCGCGATTAACAACGGAACATCTTGAAACAAATTACAGCCTTTTGGATCTCGTTGGTCAAAATTAGCCCCTTCCGAGACGTATGGACGTGGAAACAGGATTCAGCCAGGTCCACTATTCATAACCAACATTGATTTGAGCAGTTAAAGAGTCCTACTTACTATGTGTAATTAATCTAACACGCATGCAGAATATCAAAACGAACTGTTCCTTTAAGAAAACGATGCAAACTTGGCATCCTATTTATGCGGTTATACGTCTTTCAACTGTCCCGTGTTCTGTAAGACAGGTCAAGGTGCTTGCCACTGATGGCCTTGAATGAACGCGTTAAATTGAATAAACAATATATATTGAAATTGGAAGCGCCGAGTAGTTTCAGTTACCCCCCTTAGCTGAAAGACTTCAGAGAGGTGGACGATTCCGCACTGCAAATAGAGCATTCTAGTTTTCGCCGATCGAAGAACAAAAAGAACAAAATTGAAAGCCGGGAAGAAATGGAGTAGGTGGCGAGCCCGGTTACAAGGAGAATTGTCCACATATGTACTTATGTTCTGTCCTGTGTCGAAAAGTATTTGAAACAGACGGAATTGCTTTTGGAGGAGATACGACTTTTTCGAGTGCATCCGCTTACCGCTTTTTTAGTTCGCGCTGAGGGCATTGCTCTACTTCCGCTCTCGCAGCCAAGTGAACTCCACATCCGCATTCCCGCTTAGCTGGGACTTCACTGTAAGAAATAACTAGGATACCCCGGAGAGGAACAAGACTGAAGTACATTGTCAATCAAGAGAACCTAAAGAACGTCGTATGCCTGTCAAGGGGAGGTTGCGGCAGTTTCGAGAACACAGTGAGTATCGCTCCGTAATTCGGTGATAACGAAGGCATCGTAAGTGCTACGAAGAACCGCTTTCTATTCCGAAGCGAAGTCTTTCGTCATGTGAAGCATTTCATTCAATGCATTCTTTTTCGTGGTAGTTACGAAGCGAAGCCTTTGCAGACTCTTTTGAGTGAAGGATAAAGGTGGGCGTTTGGCTCACGCCCGCAATCTCAACCACCAAGTTCAATATTGCAATTTCCACACTGGAAACTTCAGTGTGCACTCACGCAGAGCACTTAGCTTATCCGTGCACCGCCAGCTTTCCGATGCGTCGCTGTAAAATCCGAGGAAACTAAGACATAGTAAAATCTTCGCAGAAATGCTTCGTATTATGATTGAAAGTCCTTCGTAACATGCAGCATTCCTTCATAATACGAAGAAATTTTTCTATGCCGTCCTTTCCTCGGTAGATATGAGGCAGATGCTTCCTAGACTCTTGCCGCTTGACTTCTGGTTTGAATTTTTCTCCAAGTAAGGGGATTGGGAAGGTACCGAATTTCGGAATAACCTTCACATATATAGTGGAATTACGGAGAATCTTCGTGAACCTATCTGAGGGGTCACCGGTGCAAGCAATGCACTTTCTTCAGCGTGGATGCAAATGAGTTCTAACCTTCAGTTAGCAGTTTACATTGCCAGCGTGCGAAGCGAAGGTGTGTGCTCATCCTAGCTAATTCCCGTAATAGGGTACTTCGGAGGAAACCTAGACCGGAAGTCAGCGACAAAACCGGAGAAACAAATGAGCGTCGCGCGGCCGTGCTGAGCGGTGGTGGGGGCCGGAATCGGCGCAGTGGGGGTAGCATGCGCGCGCCGCCTCCGCCCCCCACTCCGCCGATTTCGACCCCCACCACCGCTCAGCACGGCCGCGCGACGCTCTTCTGTTTCTCCCGTTCTGGCGCTGACTTCCGGTCTAGACTTACTCCGAAGTACCCTATCCTGCGCATGTTAAATAGAATTTTCTGAGTACATTGTTGAGTTAGCAGAGAACCATGAAATCTTAATGAATCTACAAATGAATCCTCGACCACGTCCCTGCGGAAATTAGTAAATTTGTTCCTGCGTACTACTTTACGCTAGTCCGACAGAGGTGTGTTCGGATGACTGCGGCTCCTGATGGAAACCTCGACCGCGCCCTGACGCCTCAAAGTCTCAATTAATCTCATTTGCGTATCGCGTGTATATTTTGCAGATGGAAATTGCCAACTTATCCGATTTTGAGCTGCTGGAGGTCTTCAAGTTCTTGAGTGCCGCACAGCTTCTAGGATGCCGGACTGTTTGCCGCAGATGGAGGCGCCTGGCTTTGGACCCGCTTCTTTGGAAAAACAAGAAACTGTCTTCATACGGGCAGTAAGTGAAAACGTACTTCCGAACTTGTCCCTTAGGTGCTGGGGGCTTAATGTGGATATTCTTTTGCAGTGTTTCCAAAAAATGGTGGAGAGTTTAAAAAATTTGTATGTAAATTAAATCTGAATCCCATTATTGGTGGAATTTGCACAATGAACTGCTTAAATTTATGTTATTTATGTTGTGCTAAATGTCACACAGGCCTAAAATCATGCAGCACCACAATTGTGCAGCAACATTTAGCGTGTACCTATCTCAGTCTGTCACCTGGGATGAAGCAATTAAAGCCAAATCTTTGACAGTTCGAAGCATTCATTCATTATGCGAAGCAATTCCATAGTGCCTTCGTAGCCACGAAGCCAAAACTTTGTGGTCTTGTTTCAGTGCTCCAGTACGTGACAGCAGTTATCAACACACTTAATGTTTATGTACAATTCTGTACGTGGTGATGCATAATTTTATACCTGTGTACCGTCGTACATAAAATTGTGCGTGAATTTGCATAAGTTTGTGCATCTTTACGCATGATATTATGCAAATTCCACGCACTCAAAATCGTGCAAGTTGTTCGTGCAAAATTCTACCCAAACATTTAGTGTGAAGGAAACGGCATTTGGTGAGCCCCTGCACAGCCAAACCAATGCTAGGGAAATGTTTTTCTCGAGTGGACCCAGGAACCCGGATTCGTTAGGGTCAGTTGGGATAATTATGATACGGCTGACTCTAAGGGGCATAAATGGGACAGCTGACTCTTAGTCAAGATTTGAAACTTTTGAACGCATGACATACCAAATGTGATGTTTTTATTGAGAAAATAACATGTGTTACGGCTTAAGTTCTAAAATCTCGATGCTTGACTAAGAATCAGCTGTCCCATTTTTACCCCGTGTCCCACAATTGCCCCAACTGACCCTACGCCGCATTCTTTCGAAGGTTACTCGCAGCTCGAGCGCAACCTGGAGAAAAGCTTGTGACCCAACCTAGAACATCTTCAAACTTCAGTTAAATTTGTAATAAACAGTTCCCCACCTTCTGGACGACGGGAGATTGTCACGGCCCTACGTGTCGCTCCCTGCTTGCGTAGCCTGGAGTTGTACTGCGACCTCAGGGAGACCATTGTCGAGTGGGGCCTGCTGGTTTCGTCTACACGATGCGCCATTTCCGAAGTCAAAATCAGCTTCAGAGCAGTGGACGCTCTCTTTGCCTCCACTGTGCTATCCAGGCAAGTTACTTTGAGAATGAAAGAGTCTTGATCAATACCTAATTTTGGTCGTCCAAGTAATCCCTAATCACCCGAGTTAGGGCGAGAAAGGCTTCCTCACTCTCATTTGGGCGAGAAAGTGTGTATTACAGTTTTTGGTGTATTAGCTACGTGTATGGCTGTATGGTATTATCACCCAAATTTGGGCGAGGAAACCCTCCTCATCCGAATTTGGGTGAGAACGAATTCCTCGCCTAAAATTTTAGTCCCGATCATGACTTTTCCATTCTCAGTGTAGAAATATGAACGTTGGTATTTGGTTTCTCAAGTCCCAAGCTTTTTGGCTGAGCGATAGCGAAGCCCTTGCCGTGTTTGGGCGCTCCGAAAAGTGACTGGTCGTGCGTCTGTCTGTCTGTCTGTATGTAATCACTCACGTTTCTCAGCAACTACTGAACGAATAGTATCCAAATTTCACACCTGATGTCTCCTAAACATCCTACAGGGGGAGTTTATCTTAGATTAACAATTATCATCGTTTGAAATATTCAAAACATCATTTTGAACTAGGTAATTGGCGTGTTTAGGTTGGTAGCAGCGTGTGGCAGACCAATTTCTCATACCGGCTGCCGCGCTTGCAAGCCGTCTGCAAGACGGGACGGCACTTATGCAAATAAACAAACTAAAGAGCAAAGGGGTTCTCAAATAGGTACTGAGATAGTTTTTTAACATTCTAGAATGATTGAAACCCTTCCGGGGTGTCAACAGAGGAAAATATAGAAACTAAATGTGAGAATGGTTTACGCGTTTCGTTCCCCTTTTCCCCCTCCCCCGTCACAGGAGAACAGGTCAGTGCAGTGTAGTTGTGGATTGTAAATAGAATGTTTTCTTTGCCTTTGTGTGCATCTACTGATTTTATTCTCTCTGATACTATCCTAATTTTTAAATTTCAAAGTAAATAAAATCAGGTAAATGCATGAATAACTTCTGTTGAAATTAGAAGACATGTTAATTGTCTTGGTTTGTCTCGGGGAAATGACACTCTATTGCAATGCTGCAAGCTAACATAAATATTCTAGTACTTACATCTATTGATTAAAAGAATCCATAAATAGATGTATTTTGTGCAATTAATAATCCATATATTTAGTGCTAACAGATTTTGAACTGATATTGGGTTCAATGAGACGATTCTGGTTTTGAGCGGTGGGTGACTTGGTAATTGCTTTTAATGGGACGATTCCTTTAACTTCACCAAAGCTTGTGTCCAACAGCTGGAACCAAGTATTGGTAATGATTTAAAAGCTGGCTTTCTTAATGTAAGCCCAATGTTAATGCTACTCTGTATTCTTTTACTCTAAAGATAAATTATCACGAGGCATGAATAAGGTAAATTAAGTTGGCGTATTGAGCAACAAGTGGCCTCTGCATTTGACTTCATGAGACGATTCACTGAATTTGACACAACTTGTTCTCCGTCAAATGCTTCAGATCAGCCTGCCCTAAACTGAGTCACTTAATGAAAACTATGATTACATATTCCATTCTGTATTGTTTATTTCACTGGTTTTAAATGAAAGAATGACAAAAGGCTTCTCAAATATAACTAATAAATTTGTGAATTCATTAGTTTGAAGAAAAAGATGTATCGAATAGTGAGTCAAGCAGACGAGTAGCTAATTAAGTGATTCAATGCTGGCAATGGAATGTTACTCGACTGAAGGAATCGCATTGGTGTGGCATTAGGGTATTGGTGACGACAAAGGGTGATCCATGAAGACTAACCAAGACCCATTCTTTACCGATTATTGATCAATTTGATATCGATATTTTTCAATCGAATCTCATATTGATTCTTGGAGTTTTTCGAGTGCTGATTATGAAAACCCCTTCCATTTCTACCCCAGACTTATATTTTCATCTCAAATTAGGTCATTTCGGACCAAAATTTTCAGGTCGAGTTTTATATTGTTTCCTGCAGTGTTTGATGAGCTGAACTCAAAAATAACTTCCAAATTTTTCCCAGACTCACGCTTTACCTAATTTTTGACCAAATTTGGACCAAAAATTTTGAATTGAGTTTGATGTTGATCCCAACAGTTTTTTGTGTGCTGATAACGAAAATCACCTCCATTTCGACTCCAGACTTATATTTTCATCCCAAATTAGGTCATTTTGGACCAAAATTTTCAAATAAAGTTTTTTATTGTTTCCTGTAGTTTTTGGTGCGCTGAACTCAAAAATGACTTCCAAATTTTTCCCAGACTCGCGCATTACCGAATTTGGACCAATTTTGGACCAATATTTTGGAATCGAGTTTGACGTTGATCCCAACAGTTTTTGTGTGCTGATAACAAAAATCACTCCCATTTATACCCCAGACCTACATTTCACTCAATATGAGCCCACAAGCTGCAGTCCGAAGTGCACAAATTCGCATCGCTCAGCCACACTACGCGCCCACACAAAACGGCGCGTACCCCTAGTTATGTTGTCCTGGTTTTCCCAGGAAGCCCACGGTAAAGACATAGGCAATTTCCAAGGAACTTCCTGGCAAAACCAGAACCGTTTTTACCGTGTTGTGAAGAATGGATGAATTGAGAAAAAATTAATGGAAAATTTACGAAACTGGCGAAAATTTTGCAAAAGTTTCGTAAATAGACCATTCTAGTCGTGGCCAAGTGAAGAACAAGAAGAATCACAAAAGACTCATTTAGGGCATTTAGAGTGCATATATTCACTGAAAATATGTTGTACTTACAATAAAATATTCTCACTAACTTCTACCAAGCAAAGGGTCTTAAATATTCAAAGTAAAAGTGCTAAAAAGTTGTCTTTTGTCATTCTTCTTGTTGATCACTCGGCCACGACCAGAATGAACTGCAAACCTAACTGTCTACTAAGTACACACTTACAAATGCGTGCTTGCAAGTACACACTTACAAACGCATGCTTGACGCCGTATAACTCCATGCGTCAAGCATGCGTTTGTAAGTGTGTACTTGCAAGCATGCATTTATAAGTGTGTACTTGGCTAAGCATGCGTTTGTAAACTTGCAAGCACGCATTTGTAAGTGTGTACTTAGTAGACAGTTAGGTTTGTAGTGTGGTCTATTCTCGAAGTGTAAGTTCATTTGTGTATGTAGGATAATTTTAGTGACATTTTTAAGTATTTTCGTCAATTTATGCAGAATCTGATGAATGTTCGTGGATTTATGAAGTCTTTATAAATACCGAGTCTCTTAAGAGGATTTTAAAGGATCTTAGTGACATTGTTGCCAAATTGCACGAAACCAATTTACGCCGTTAATAGCTTGGAACCCTTTTCGCCCATTTTCATCGGCAACCATGTTCGTCCATCCAACATGCAATTAATTCATCTGCGCTAACTGCAAAGCCAGCGGTACGTTTGCCCGCCGGCTTTGCAGTGTGTTTTCACTCCCGCTTGGAAAGCGTAGCATTAACATTATAGTAGGTCTTTGAGGAGGAGCGCCACACAAGTGGTTAATTTCATGGCATCATCTTCCTCCTAGATGAGTTTTCAATTTGTCAACAACTTTTTGTAACCCTCAACAATCGAAATTGTTAACTTGGAACTAAAACACACTACCGCAATCCCAGTGCTTGACGTATCCATGCGTCCGCGCCGATACTGAATGCCCTTTCCATTTGCAGGCAGGTCTCTCTTGGAAGTTTGAAGCGTATTTCTATGTCGGTTCATGCCAAGAAGCCCTGTCCCTCACAGCTTCGACTGCGTGCATTGCTGAAGCAGGTTGCTCTCATTCAAGGTACGTAGGACTGATTC